TTGGCCAACTACCACACAATCCAAGCAGGCTGAAAGCTGGGCTGCCCTCCTGGTCCTCTGAGCGTGCAGCGGCCAGCAGCCCTGGCCCACACTGCAGCCCCTGCCATCTCAGAGGTGCTCAGGTTGCTGGGCCCTGATGTCACAAAACACTTGCTAGGGAACCTCACAGTGGCCCAGGCAGAAACTTAGCTCCCTGTCAGCTGGTGCTACACCTACCCATTTCAAAATGCCAAGGTTTCCCCAAGCTCGCATGGTCCCGAGAGCCCCAGGGCCAGGCAGAAGCCCATGGAAGTCAGTGACTCAGCCCAGTCAGGCCTCCTTCCCGGCATGCCTTCAGCTCTGCAGGACTGCCTGAGCCAGATGAATAGTCTATCAAGCTGTTAAACACCGTGGCCTGGTGACAGGGGTCACTGCAAGGGGTGGTAGGGTTCTACCCACTGACCCATCTGGGTCACAGGAAGGTGATAGCATTTTCCTCTGTGCAAAATCCCCTCCCTGGCACCTGGCCAGCTGGGAGGGCAGCAAAGACCCCCTGCGCTCTCTCTCACCCTCCCTTCTGATCCCTCCATGCCACAGCCCCTTGAGCTAAAGTACACATACCCCAAGCTTCCCTTTGTCCATCTGTCTTCTGCTTGCAAGGGACAGGCAGAGGGTTCCTTTGACAGCTCTCTGTGGATGAGGGGCTGAGCAGGACTGACCCCTTGTGGTGGCACTTGCCCAGTCCCTCTTTGTCCCAGTATGTGTGCACGTGTGTGTATGTGTGTACAACACACGCTGTGCCCACTGCCCTCTGTGCCTGGGCCCAGACAGTTTGCTAGGATGCACCCATTTTCCATATGGGCTCAGCACCCCCTTCCAGGTCCAGGCATTGACACTGCCGGTCTCCAGCCATGTCCCGAGCACAAGTGGCATGGTGGCCCAGTCCCCAGCCTCTCCAGCTTGGTAGGCGCTAGCCAGGTACTCCCTCATAAGTCCCAGGGTGCCATCCCATGTCCAACTGCACGGCCTGGGCAGGATGACCCATCAGGATGTGCCAGCTTCTCCTTCCACAGCCCCACATCTCAGTACGTGCCAGTTTCTCGTCCTGGCCACGCAGCTCCTCAGTGCATCACCGCCCCACTTTCTCACAGACACATATCTCAGTCCAACACAGCTCCTCCTCCCCACAGCCCCGCCACTCAAACATCACAGCTCCTCCTTCCAGCAGCCCCGCCCCTCAGACATCACAGATCCTCCTCCAGCAGCCCGGCCCCTCAGACATCAATACGCCACCTCCCACAACCCCGCCTCTCAGACATCACAGCTCCTCCTCCCGTCAGCCCAGTCCCACAGTAAATTACCCCTCCTCCTCCCCACTGAGCCACCTCTCAGTGTAACTCATCCTGCCACTCAGCACACTCCTCACATCCCACAATTCTGGACACTCCTACTCACTGAAGCCCCACCCCTCAAAACATCAAAGCTACCTCTCCGGTCAGCCCCTCCCTTCAACACATCACATTTTCTTCTCACTGCAGCCCCGCCCCGCAGACGTCACAGCTGCTCCTCCGAGCAGCCCCGCCCCTCAGAATCACAGCTCCTACTCCCAGCAGCCCCGCCCTTCAGACATCATAGCCCCTCCTCCTTCAGTCCTGCCCCTCATCAAAACACAGCACCTCCTCTCTACATCCCATCAATAGGAAGACAATACTCCTCTTCCTTACAGCCCTGCTCCTCACACCTCACAGCTCCTCCTCCGTGAAGGCCAACTCTCAGTGGATCACAGTTCTTCTTAGCTCCAGCCCCGGACATCAGACATCACAGATCCTCTACCACAGCCCTGCCCAGCATTATGTCACAGCTCCCTGAAGCCATGACCCTCAACATCACACATCCTCCTCCTTGGAACCCTGACCCTCGGACAGGACACGTCTTTCTCTCCACACCGGCCCCTCAGAATGTGACCTGTCGGCTTCCTGCAGACCCACAACTCAGTATTTCACAGCCCCTCTCCCCACAATCCAGACCAGCAGGAAGGGTGCAGCCCCGCCCCATGGGGGCAACCTGCTCTGCCTCTCCCACCTTACCTGGAACATCTCGCAGCCCCGCCCATAGCTCTGTGCAGCTCCTCCTCTCTGTTGCCACTAGACTCCCCCTCAGGCCTGCCCCACATCTGCAAGCTGTGAGTCCCAGCGCCACAACCAGTACATCCCGTAGCTCCGCCCAGCCCCTCTGCAACCCCGCCCACAGCTGGCTCTCTCCCCTGTGCACTCCCACTTGATCCTCCAGCAGCCCCTGCCCAAGCTCAACCCGCTGCAATGCGGCTCCACAAGCGCGCTCTAAGCCTGCAGGAGCACTGCCCTGCAGTTCCACTGCCACAGATTGTGCTGATCCGCCCACTGCCAGGCCATAGCCCCGCCCCTGAGCTCAGAGCTGCTCCTCCTCTGCTTGCTCCACCTGGATCCGCCCAGGCCCCGCCCACACACTCCCACTCCTTTAAGCTCCACCCACAGCTCCACCTCCACACAGCCAGCCCTGCCCCTTCCTCTGCAGTTCAGCCTGCAGAACCTTCAATCCTGCGCAGCAGCAGAGAACCACCGCTCGTCGTTCATTGGTTCCGACTGCTGACAAACCCCGCCCCCACTCTGCCTTTGTCCCGCCCCTTCTCCTCCTCCTCTGTCCTTCCAACTCTTTCCAATAGCCCCAGCTGACTCTTGGTCACTGGGAATCCCAGGGCCTCCCAACCCACAGCAACTGTTAGGAAAACCTGGTGTCCAACATGTGGGCGTGGCTAGGTACAAACAGGTCCTGGGGGACCATGTGGCTGCTTATCTGAGTGCAAGCAGGCATGAGTGCCTGCACACAGCTGCTGGGAAGCAGGACTGCTCTGGTGCTCAAGTTTGATCCCCAACTCTGTCTGGGTTGTGGTGCTAAGTCGGGCATGTAAGGGGGACCAGTCTTGTCCTCTGGCCCCAACCTGGATGTGAGAGATGTCCCATCTAGCCTCTGCTATCTGTTGCCCCAAATTGGGTGGGTCCCTCAGGGAGCAGCTGGGAAGGAACACAGGGTGGTGGGTCGCAGTCTTGTTCTCATTCAGGTGACCAGGGGGCACGTGTCCTGGCCGCCCGGACTTATTTGAGAGCATTGGTCCTGCAGGAAATGATGTGTGCGTGCGGCACATGCTGTCTGGGGTGTGGGAGAAGAAGCATTATAAGTGTCTCATGTGTGCACAGGCCTGGTCCACCAGGAGGAACCGTGCAGTGTCCCATAGACTTGGCTCTCAAGGAAGCTGTGGACGTGGAGACACCAGCCCTGGTCGGTACCGGCCTGACACACAGGTTCATCACTGCTCTCTCCAACCCATGCTGCCTGATGGAGCCAGTCCCAGAGAGAAGGGCCAGGGACCGCTTCCAGGTTGACATCCCAGAGCACCTGATCCCCTCGGCCAACCTCAAGGGACTTGACCTAGAAGCAGCCCACGAACCCCTGCTTCCAGATTCTGCACACCTGCAGGCTGTGAGCCTCCATGTGAACTAGGCGCCCTCTAGGAGAGCTTTCTGTCCTCCACCTGGACACAACAGGGCAGAGCCACTCCTCCTGTCCTGCCCACGGCTTCACCCTGCAAATAAATACACCAAGGTGATGCTTTTGTGCCAGGGGTGTTACCCGCCCCCCTCCACCTGATCAAACACTTGTAGGTTAGGTCCCTGCGTTTGGGGGTTATGGGGGCCAGACCACCTTCTGAAACAGAGCTGGTGTGACACAGCACTGCATGATGCCCTTGAGACTGTGGCCTGCATGTTGTGGGGGATTCTGCACATGTGTACTGGTTGAGGGTATACAAGGAGATAAGGAGGAGGGTGGCAACTCCACAGACACACACACAACGGCACACCCTGATCTCCAGGGCCACACTGAAGAGCTGGTGTCCCCTGTGTCCCTTGGCACATGATGGGTCCTCTTGGAGGACTATGGATACCCAGCTGCTGCCCAGCAGCTCCCAGGCACCATCCAGGGACCCATGTGTGGGAGGAGGTCAGACCCTTGCAGGCATCCTCCCTGAGGGCAATCATTATGCAGACTGCAGGGGGTCCCTGCTCCTTGCTCTTAAGGACAATGGACAGGCCTGCAGTCATGATTTGGTTCCTGGAGGTGGGGTTTACACCCTACTGCTAATGGTCCTTATGGAGCTACAGAGAACAGATCATCCAAAATTAAGCTGTCACCCACAATCTAGGATCCGCCCATATTGTCACATGCATACCCCCAATCCCTCCTCTTCCTATTGCATGTATGCCTCTAGATCACTCCCTTCCAGTTACTGTATAGCCTATAGTGCAACCCTTTCCTGTGATGTAGGTCTTTACCTGTAATTAGTGGGCTTGCACATCCCTAAAGGTATATAGGCCTGGGTAAGCTCTCTCTAGGCTCCTCCCTTGACCCCCTCTCCTCCCCTGTTCCCATTCCCCTTGTCCTCCTTCCCTTCCCCCTCTCTCCACTTGGACCACCAAGCGGGGCTGAGGTGAACATGCTACTATGAAATGTGTCTGGCTCCATTATTTGATTCTCTCCTATCTCACATGCTCTCGATGACTTTAATATAATATTTATATATCTCAAGTGTACAATTGTGATTACTGAACCCTTGATTAGTGGTGGGGGGTTGGCCGCCTACCTGTAACCACACCCAGGGCCAAAGGACTTCAGCTCCCAGGATGTGAAACATGTCCGCTGACCCCTTGCCTGGCAACAACTGTGCTTGTCACTTGCCGAGCCAGCCTGAGTGAGGGACCCCTTCCTCCAGGCTGCTGCAAAGCTGTGTGGCCGGCTCCCTCCGACCCTGAACACCCAGGGTAGGACGCAGGTCAAGAAATAAGTCGGACGCATGTTCTCATGAGATTGATTTACCCTTGTGGGTTGTCCTTTATCAAAACCAAAAGTAGGTTTCTGTTGAGGAATGGGTCCCCAATCCCCAGGACGAGGGCCTAGGGTGCCTGCCAGTCTTCCTTTGAGGGCCCGTTCTACAGTGGGCCCGGGGGGTTATGAGAGGCCAAGGTGGTCAGGGCCTCCAGGGGGATTGAGTAGCAGGTGGTGTACATGGTCATGAACGACTCGTAGTCGGGGTACACCAGCGTCTCAATACACGGCTCTGCTGCCCCTATAGGCTCTGATCTGGGTAGGGGCCCAAAGGTGCTGGAGGTACCCTCCCCGGTGGGCATGGGGAGCTCGGTGGGATCAGGTTGGGTCCCCGGGCTCCCAGGCTCTCTGTTCAAGGACCAGACACTAGACAATGTAGAGGCTTGAGGGGAGTTGGGAACCAAGCCACTGGGGGCCTGCATGGGATCTGCTGGGGTGGCCCCTCCCTTTGGCACGATGCTCAGGGAATGTCTAGTTGGCACAGCCATCTTCTTCATGTCCAGTGGGGCCTTGGTGGGGGCCGGCACTGTACTAGGCTTCTGCCTCCTACACCACTGTTTTCTCTGGATGTTGTTCAGCAGCAAAGGCTCGCCCCTCTTGAAGTTGGGGTTCCAATAGATCTGAAACCCACGGAATAGAGGCATCAGCACACAGGGCTCGAGACCCACCCCAGCCACCCCGCATCCTGGTCACCCCCAAGGCCCTGAGGCCTGGCACCCGGGGAACAGTGGCAACTTACCATCAACCTCCTGCCTCCGGCGATGGACCTGCGCATCCTGAAGAACCCGTACAGGCGGAGCTGCCTAAAGAAGGCCTGCATGGTTTTGGTCTGAAAGATTCGCTCTTTACACTGACGGTCCAGGACTTCCTGCTGGAAGAGCTTCTCTTCGATGATGACCAAGGTTCCGTCACGGTTCCAGCGCACTGACTGGATGGCTTCGCTCTGCACCAGCATCCATAGCTTTCTGGGGAAGGGCAACCGCAGCAATTGGATCTCCTTCTCCCCAGCAAAGATGATTGAACCCTGGTCAACACTACCTACTGGGCCTGACGCTTGGCTGGTAGACGGGGAGCCTTCATGGCCTCGGCTGGTAGACGGGGCGCCTTCATGGCCATGGCTGGTAGAGAGGCAGCCTTCCCAGCCTTTGCTGGTGGACGGGGAGTCTCCCAAGCCTTCGCTGGTGGAGAGGAAGCCTGCCCTGTCTGCACTGGTGGACGGGGAGCCTCCCAAGCCTTGGCTGGTGGATGGAGAGCCTGTAAAGCTCTTGCTCGTGGACTGGGAGCCTGTCCGCCGTTCATTGTTCAATGGGGAGCCTCCCCACAGTTCATTGGAGGATGGGGAGAATCCCCACAGTTCGCTGGTGGGCGGGGAGCCTCCCCATAGTTCGCTGGGGAGTGGAGAGCTTCCCCATAGTTCGCTGGTGTGGGGGGAGCCTACCCACAGTTCGCTAGTGCTTGGGGAGTCTCCCACCTGTTTGCTGGAGCATGGGGAGTCTCCTAACAGTTTGCTGGAGGATGGGGAGCCTCCAGAACCAAGGTTGGTAGACGGGGAGCTTCCCAATTCTTCATAAATCATCTGGGAACACCACATGGGATCATTTGAGCCAACTAGTGGGAACTCCCCCTCCTGCCAGTCAGGCCTACCTCTGTCCAGGTTGACTTGGCACCTCCCACTGCCGCCCTCATCATTGATTTGGTAAGTCTCTCTGCTACCTTGATCAATGTCTTGCCACCACTCGATGCTGTCCTCATCACCAACTTGGTAATTCTCTCCGGTTGCCTGATGATCCATTGAGCGCCAGTACACTGCGGATCGTCTACATTCAAGACTGACTCACTCTCCCACCAAGACTGAACTGCCTTCAGTCAGTGCTAGGTGGCCCAAGAAAAACAGTTCCCACATTCTAGAATCCTGGTAGGGGGGCAACCAGCTGCTACTTCACAAAGGAGGCCCACTGCCTCTTGGGGGAGGAGCCCTGGCCATGGCAGGGGAAGTGCCTCAGTAAGGAACCCCTCTACTCTTCTGCCTCTCAGGGCAATAAGGCCAGGATCAGGTTGCTAAGAGAATCACCCTGCTACTCTGACCTCCCCACAGCGCTGCAGGCACCAGCCTGGCCACCTGCAGGTCGCTCACTGGGGTCCAGTGGGGCCTTTCCAAGGGAACATCAGAGTGGGCCAGTGACAGTGAGCACCAGCTCCGGAAACACTGAGGGCTGGCCATAATATCCACAATGCCAGCGCGCTCAACCTTGATGGAAGAGCAATGCTTTGCCCTGAGGGAGGGGAAAGGATCAACCCCACCATGCTCACAGGCCCACGTGGAAACAGCTAATTGTCCCTGACCCCAGAGGGGGCTGTGTCCCTCCACAGGCTACCAGGAGGGGAGGGGAGCAGCCAGGGCCTTCCGAGGAAACAGGGACCCTCAGGTCAGGGGATGGCTGTGCCTCTGGGAGCAGGGATTGCCGGTCAAAGGCCAGGTTCCAGAGTTGGACAGGGGCACATAAGGGGTAGGACCAGGCTGCAGGGACAGGACCAGGCTGCTTGCCCAGGGCAGAGTCCCCAGGGTCCCGGCAGAAGGAACTGTAAAGCCATAGATGCTTCCCACGGGGTGTGCACTGCTCTCCTCACCCTCTAGTTCAAGCCCTGGCACCTGCAGTCTGAGCTCTTGGGGAGATCGCCCAGCCCTGGGGCCTCAGCTTGCCTTCATCTGTGGATTCATGTCCGCAGACCTGCCCCTCAGCACATCCCTGCTCCTCTTCCCTACAAGCTGGTTTCTAAGTACATCACAGCTCCTCCTCCTGGCCACCCATCCTTCGGCTTGCCCCGTTTCTTTTTCCTTAGGCCTTTTTTTTCGGCTTGGGGTTGGGCTTCTTCTTTGCGGCCCCCCCTCAGGGCATAGCTCCTCTCCTTGTGTCCCAGGTCCTCCTCCCCACTGGCTCTCATCTCAGCTCAGCTCAGTTCCTTCTCCCTGCAGACCCAGCCTCAGTGACTCACAGCTCCACTCCCACAGCCCTACTTATCTGTACTGCACGCTCCTGCTCCTGCCAGCACCACCCCTCGGTGCCGCACAGTTCTTCAGCCGCACAGACTAGTCTTCAGTACATCACAGTTCTTCAACCCCGGAGCCATCACAAGCACCATCCTGATGCCTTGGCCCTCAATACATCTCAGTTCTGTGAGTGCCAGCCAGTTCCCTCACTCATCACAGCTCCTCCCCCCACAGCCTCAGCCTTCAGTACATCCAACTCCCCCTCCCTGTAGACCCATCCCTCAATATCAGCACCATTCTTCCACATAGCGCTCACACACACACACACACACACCCCACAATTCCTTCCTGCCCTCATTCAGTACAGTACTTCCCATACTACCACTTGTCGGGCAGTTTGTCACGCTGTGGTGCCTAGTGTGTTGCTATGATGCTGGAAGCTATTTTAGTGGTATTTTAAATATAGCAGGCTCACCCACACTAAAGAGGTTTGATTCAGGGGCGCTTCCAAACCAAGAACAGCCAACAAAGAAGGAATCAGCTGCCCACATTGGAGGAAGTAGCTGCTGACTACTTTATGAACCTCAGTAGGACACCCACTCTTAAACCGACGACCAAATCCTGTTCTGCATTAAGATTCAAGATCCCCTTACAGAAGGGTCTCGGGGAGGAGACGAGCCAGTCAGGGTGCGATGTAGCAACGATAAAAAATAAAACTTTCCTCTGGTTCCTAAGTGCTTCCTCCCTCCCCACTATCATGATCCCAATCCTACGTTGCAGGTCTGGCTGGACCAGAGAGTGTACACTGGTGCAGATGGGGGTTGGGGGCGCAGGGAGTCCAACGCGGCTGATCCCTTCAGGACCAGTGGTGTGAGCAGTGATACTGGGAAAGAGGGAA